CTTGAGGAGGAAGCGAGACGGGGAAATAATGCAGCTTACAAACAGTAAGGATGGAAGATATTACCCCATTGGGCGTCGCCACTTTTTCCCTCCGTAAGTCACACCGTTACGCAGGTAACCGACCATTTTGATAACCACGAGCTTATTTGTCGTCTAAAATAGTAAATGTAACAGGCTGGCTATAAATTGAAAGATGTAATAAAACCTTCTTTGTAGCAAACTTTTTAATTTTAATCTGTAATTTTAATACAAAAAATTTTATATATTGTTTTAACACCATGCGTGTCGAATAAATTTTTACTTGAAAAAAAAACCAACGAAACACGTTTATAGTTACGGTAACAACTGAGCGTTGGACCACTGGAATTCGCCAAAATAGCGAAGCGACCTCTGTCCATAGGCATCCGTATTTGCAGATGCGTTGTCTAGCTTTAATCAACAGAGAAGGCCACGCATAGAAATAAGATATCTACTCTACCTATGCATCACATCCCCCGCCAAATCCACTTCTACTTCCCATCTCTTCCTTCTACGAAAACGGTAAAAGGGGAAAGGCCCAAAATAAGTAAGTAAGCCTACACTAGTCATACTAAACGCAGAATTTCTTCCAATTCACGCCGGTCTTCTGTGTGGCGAGCTGGCCGATGCGTGCGGAGATGTTAAACTGGGCTCTACCACAACAAAAAGTATTGTTTTTCTGAATATCTCTCACGATTGCCGACATGAGTAAAATAAAAAAAAAACGTCATTGCATCTTATTAGTATAATGTAGTGTACAAGGTAGTCATTGTGCGGACAACGAATTCGTTGTTATCTACATTGTTATCGGCGCAGTAAGCAAGGACAAACAGTCATCACATACGAAAATTAATTAATAACTATTTTATCAATTTTAATGGTCGTCGATATCAATGCTACAATGCACTCACTCAAATCCGTACTAAGTATTTACATCAATACATTTCTTTCAAAGATTCCTTTGAAGAAATTGTTATTAAATCAGTTTCATCACATTGGATTTTTTTAACGAAGGATAGAAGAATGTCTGGATGGATTGTTCAAAAGAAGATATACGTAAGATGGGAGTGAACTCATATTTGCTATAGAGATGTATGAATACATAGTACGTATTCTGCCGACTCGTCGTAGAGAAAAGAATACGCTAATGATTTATTTTGTCACTCAATTACTTTAGTACCTCATTTTTTTCCACTATTACATCTAATAATACCATGAGTAGATTTCCGTCTCGGAAAATAACTAACCGATTATGAACATGACAAAATTTAGCATCGACATTATTGACCCAATGATAGCGATACATTGATATTTCTGAAATAACCTTTTGCCTTATCGCATGCAACACTTTATCACGTATCCAATCTCCTTAAGTGCGGTATCAAAATTACTAAACAAAACGCTAAATCATTCCACCTCTTATGATTTAATGCTAAACTTATTGTATTGTAGTTTATTCTAATCATCATCATGTTAGTCATCGTCATCACCTTCCCCAAAGAACGCCACGATGATCGGACCTTGTCCTCTTCCAGGAAACTCCCGCAACCTTGACCAGATCATCGGTCCATCTTGCGGAATGCCTACACAATGATCAACACATTCTAGGACTGTGTGGCCTTTATTAATATTTTTATTCGTCTGTTTTTATGTCTGGAAATCGTTTGTTAAGGTAATGTTTATATTTATGATGCAACCCTAATTATTAACTTTATATTATGTGTTGTAGATAGCTTGTGTGCGAGAATCATTTACTATTTTTTCAATTCCGCGCTAAAGATTTCACTGTCAACAGCAATCAAATACCATCCATTCTGATCCACAGAGACAATACTTTCCTAAAATATATGAAGTTTACAATCAAATACGTTTTAACGATTTTTGCATTCATTACAATACAGTAAACAACTGGGAAAAAGATGTCGGTGTAATTGTTCTGTCTAATTTCGAAAAGCAAATGAAGTTGATTACAGATAATCGTGTCATCCAATTTTCAGAAAAAAATACGACACATTAATGCTTTACATTATACTGGGTGTTGCTCGCGACTTTGTCCAAATTAATAATATGGCCTATGTTACTCACAGAAAAATTACCTTCCTAGTGCTGAAAGAATTTTTAATATAGACCCAGTAGTTTTTGTGTGAATCAAACACATACAAAAATCCAAAAATTTCCTCTTTATAATATTAGTATAGATTATTGGCTTACTGTTTTTGTTTAAGAAAATATTTACTTGATCCTACGGATGAAGTCCTTTAAAATAGATTTTAATTGCGAGCGTCAGAGTGCACTGGGCGTATCAACCACGATAATATGCAATTTGTTTCAATATAAACATATAAATGTTATCATATTCACCTCTATAAACAGACTGTGTGTTATCAGTTGCAACTTTGAATAGTGGCATTTATCTACACTGATGTAACAGACTTGAGATATCGTGTTGCCTGGTGACGTTCGTGTCATTGGGGATATTAGGTTAAACTGCGAACACGAGTCAAGACTTTTTTAGTATTTTTTTTATCGAATTATTGCTGTCTTTACACGATAGTTTACTTGATTTAACTGAAGGAGCACAAAAAGCGCTTCCTCTAAACCTCGTTTAAAGGAATCGATGTCGACGCTACATAATCGTACCTTAGATCGTTTAGTAAACGATTTTAAATCGATGTTATTATATTGTAAATAGGTAATTGAAATTTTTTACCTTCTAGCGTTCATCGCGGATATCATCGGATCGGAACTTAAATGAATAAAACATAATAATTAGCCTGATGAGAATATTATGAATAGATGAATGTACTTTAGGTTAATTATTTTTTCTTCACAGATGTTACCTTCCCGTCAAAATCGGTCCAGCAGTTTCGGACATCACCCGGCACAAATGCGGTATACAGACACACGGACAAAAATTTAACAGACATTTTAATTTTATTATACGTATAGATAGATGTCGAGAATTCATAATTTGCAAAATTTGAAACAATAGGTTTATCTGATTTAAACTAAGGTGTCAAAAAGATGTAATATCACATTTCAATTGGAAACCTAAATTATGAAAACAAAACTACGTCAAATTCAATCCACGACGACGGCCATAGTGTTAGTTTTTACGAATGTTTTCTAAAAATTGTAAGATAATGTGAAATAATTTTATATAATGTGGATAAAATTAAAAATTGTGTGATTAGAATGGACAAAGTTGACAATGTGTATATTAGAGGAAGTTTGAAAGTAGCGCCAGTGGTGGAGAAATTGAGAAGCAAAAGGTTAGCGTGGTATGGACATGTTATGCGAAGAGACGATGGAGACATAAACCAGAAAGTGTTAAAAATGAATGTGGATGGCTACAAAGGAATAGAAAGACCAAAGAAAGTAAGGATGGATTGTGTGAAAGAGGATAAGCTTAAGAAAGGAGTGGTTTCAGATATGACGGCTGATAGAGATGTATGGAAGAGCAGCACATACTGTGCCGACCCTCCATAAGGGATAAGGGCAAGTTGATGATGATGAATGTGGATAAAATTGACTTATGTTATACAGTAACAAGAAAAACACGCGTAAAAAATGTTATTCTTTTTTTAAAAGAGTGAAAGATGTAAATATGTTATTAGTGTGTTGCAGCGATAGCTGTATGACAAAGCTGATCACGTAACGCTCATTTGTCATTTATTTTGTAACACAATATCAATTTCTGACTAAACAAAACTTAACATCAGAGGGTATATCATAAATCTGAAAAGTTTATATCAATAAAATACTGATAGAGTACCTTCCTATTCATATGTAGGTACTCCGAAGATAAGGCCCTGTCCCACCAAATTGTAAATTGTCTGATAACAATCCAACGTGCAACATATGTGATGGAAATACCGAATTTTGTTCCCTTTTCTGACAGTGACGTCATTTTTAAAATATCTAAGCCTCTATCCGCAGTGGTGGGACAGGCCCTAAGATTTTAAATTAGTACACAATTGTAAACAGAAAATGATCCTTAGTAACTTGCTTTTATTGTCTTTTACGAGGTTGATTGATTTTAATACTAGATGTACAGCGACGGCATTTTGGGTCGCATTAAAATGAAAGAAAATGTAATGTTGCCGTTGTTAAATTATTAAAAAATATATTATTTTGTTAATATTTATGACTCTGTAATATTCATTTAAACTGTAATTATTTTGTACAGGATGTTTCACTTTTCAGTGATATTTCTAATACCAATTTTTTAAATGAATATTTTTATCTAAATTCTATAGCACTGTAATCACTTATTGTGTGTATTTCACTAAAAATATTTGCAAGGTGACTCTACTTCTATGTTACTTTTCAACTAACATTTTTTATCAGTTATGTTATCTATTGTTGTATATATAAATGTGCAGAGTTATTTGCTAATTCATAAAAAAATTCAAGATCGAATTTAGATTTTGTCTCTAGATAAATGATTACCTTATAACTACTATCTTAACTCTATCATCAAAGATATGTAACACTATTTTTATATTTAGATACAGTTCTTTAATTTAAAGAATGGTAACGATGAATATTCACGGTGTACCGTTGTCGCAATGCAACGGCATTTGTTTGTACGGTAATGTCGCGCGCATACTTTCAGTACTCAACAATATAAGCCTAGTAAACATGTCGCTAGTCTATATTTTCTTACTCTACACAACAAACCCAGTAATAGGTAAAGGTAAACTGCAGTTAGGCAAACAGAAGCGATGATAATTCTACATAGTAACTCACGACTACCCAATATCGGCCGCGCATTTAGCGCCGGGCGACACAGGTTTAGCATATTTACTTAATAATGCACATTCGTTATTACAATCAAGAACAACTCGCGTTATCATATCGGAATGAGTCACGTTTTTGTCCACTAAATTCCCATTATCTTAGATGAACTCGGGCAACCTGCACTGGTTGGTACACAAATGTTAGCACAATGAGGTCACAAATCAGCAGGGAGTACTAACCGGGCTGTTGTGGAGGCAGCAGAGGCGGCATAATCGGCGGCGGCGGCACCGAGGGCGGCGGCGGCGCGAAGGGGGACACCCCGGGAGAGCCGGGTACAGAGTCGCAACTGGAAGAGCCCAGCGAGCGAGGAGGCAGCGGCGCCGGCACGACGGGGCTTCGAGGTGCCTTCACTATAGGCGGTTCGCCTCGTTCCAGCTCGATGCCTGGCGGTTGGTGTCCGTGCTCAGCGGCTCGCGCGCGCGCCTCGTCTTGCGCCTGGGCACGCCGTAGCGCCGTCTGCATGGCCATAACGCGCTGCCGGTCTGCGGTGAGACGGCACTTCTCGCAGGTGCAGTACCGGTACTTGCAGTAGCGCTTGTGGCCCTTCAGCTCGACCTTGAGCCGATGATTGCGACAGCGGGCGCAGTTGGGCGGCGCGCGCGGCACTCCCGAGCTGGAGGCCCCGGGCTCGTTGCGGTCGTCACATTCGTCAGGAGACCGGCGCCTCCACGCGCCTACGGACACCATAGCGGGCTGTCGGTGGCGGGCTGTCGGTGGCGGGCTGACGCGCTACCGTGTTCCCGTGGCGTAGGTTTACACAGGCGGCACGTCGCGCGGTCACGATGCGACTGCCGCCGACCGCTACCGCCCCGCCCCGCGCCCCACCGCTCTACATGCCTGCATTTATTGCTGTGCGATGCATTATTGCAACTCGGTGCATTTTAATATTATCTTTAATCATTTTCCTTCTAGGCCACGACACGGGAAACAAAGTATTCCTAATTCCATTTTTTTCGGTAAAATACTAAAATTCCATTAGCAATTTAAAAATAGAATACCTAAGGAAGTACATCTTGACAAGCCATCTTAACGCCTGCATAGGAATTACGTTGCCAGGTCTTAGATTAGCAATAAAAACGTAACTCCATACACTACAGTATAGTTTTGTTGATATCCGTACAGTGCATTGCATCTATTAAGTAAATACTGATAAGTATGATTACATAATCTGAGCCAACAATTAACAGCTGACTTGAGTTATCTTTGATATTATATTTAACACGGAAATATTTAATTACTGTGATTATAAATATTCGTTAGTTATACATTTTCATTATGTAAAAACAATTAACATTCAGTAATGAGAAAACATACACGTTTAAGTTTTAGTAACATTAGGAATTAATAAAGATTTAACTTTAAATTATGTTATGTTAATATCGATATTGAAGCACACGAATAAAGGCCCCAACAGCGTGTTGCACTTCCATCAAATCCGATCGCGTGCAACATTGCGCACACAGACGTTATACTATTGTGGTTACACGTCTGTTGCAGGTGTGCAACAACGCATACCTTAACACATCCATATCGTAGATAAACGACGAGATTCATGTGTGTGTGTACGCACACATTGACGTAATACTATCGTAGTTACACGACAGTTGCTAGTGTGCATGCCTCGTGATCGACGTATGTGTGAGGTGAAATGTATGCGTTTCTTGTAGACTATCAATGGAGTTTTTTTTTCCACTTCTACTATTTACACAATTCCAGATAATTTATTAATAAAATAATTTATAAATAAAAAAAAGTAAGTAGCCTATGTACATATGTGTGTTCCAGACTGTCCACTACATCTCTACCGAATTTTATCGAGAGTCGTTCAGCCGTTTAGGCTACAAACTCTAATAAACTTGTATTTTAAATTTAATTGTATTGTAATATTGCATTGTTTTTTAATTAGGCTTAAATAAAGTGATTTAAACTGTGATAGATAGAAATAAGATATTAATGTAAATTTATGTTTTAAGTTGAAAATAAAGAAATAAAGATACACCCGTTCACCTTGACTTAAAATGTGTTAGGGGAATAAGAGAGCGGCATGTAGCCGTATTAAAAAAACCCTAAGAAACATCCATCTAAACTTTCGTAACTTAACTTTTATTATATTAGTAAGAGTAAAATTAATGATTCAGCAAACATTATGTATAACTTCATAGTATATTGTCATAAATATTGTAAGCATTATGTAATAGCTTGTCTTACGTTTCACTCATTATTCTACGTTTCACGGTCTCATTAATTCTTTTAACGTGACAAAGCTAAAAACAATAGAATAGACTATTAATTCTAGTCAAAACAATCTATTTCAGCTACTATAAAACTTTTATTCCTACAAGAAAACGGCAAACCAGCAACCAGACATGATGACAACTATCACTATGTGTGCTCATAAGATCAGTCATTGACATGTGTTAAATATATGTTGCTGTTAGTAAATATTAGGAAACGGAAGTAATAGTGGGGGTAGTTACATAAAAGACTGCAAGGAATGGCGCAACTCTCTGGCCTACAGTCGCTAACAAGCTCAGTCCTTCAGTCCATTAGAAGGTCAGTAGCTCCGAGTAGTGATGATGACCAGTCTTCAAACAAAACAAAGAATTCCTCCAATTTTACCTGTCTTTTGTCAAATCGTATTACACCGTTCGAACGGACCATAATGCTCGGTTCACACTACGCCAGTACAGTTGCGACGGCAAGCGACTCATTGACGCCTGTTAGGGTTCGCACTCCGCCAGTTTATTGACGGGCTAATCAGAGCCCTACTCACCAACTGTACTGGCCAAGTGTGATCTGCATTAGTCACTAATACTATTGTTATTTTAACAGTTTAATGATATAGTATACCAAGTTGTGAAATAGAGTGAATACTCAAATAACGGTTGTGGTCAACACGTTAGAGATTTACGGATATCATTACTGAAAACGTTCATATTAACTAAGTTTGTACATTTGAATACAATTCTGTGGTAAGAAATAATTTACTCCTAATACAATACAGTCTTGTTACTTTTTGCGATCTTGTTTTATTTTATTGCGAAAATTAATTAATTAAATTGTTTGCTGTTTATGTTAAAAACAAAATGGCGACCACTTATGAGATTCATCGCTTTAGACGTAGTCCTTGATGACTTTTACGAGAAATTTAATGTTTATTTCAGTTATAACCTCAAATCCGAATTTATGTAACGAAATGGTTATGAAAACAAAACCTAAACACGTTATAACAACCTTAAGGGTTGGCGGATTGTGAAGAAATATGGTTTAATGAAGGTAAGCTTAGCAAAAGGTTAATAGGACAGTTGACGATCACATAAACGAGAAAGTAATACAATTGTTTGTGGATAAGAAAGGTAAAGAAAGATCGAAGAAAGTGGATGAATTGTAGAAACAAGATATCCCATAAAAAGTATAAAAAACTGCCGAATCTCTCTTCTCCTTTAAAAATGTGTGAAACTTAGTGATTTTAGTGTCTACTAGCTGTTCCCGTGCGGCTTCATCCGCATGTAATTATGAAATTTTTATTTTATTGTCAAATTATCAATAGCAAATGTCAAAATGACATGACATTATACAAACCTTGGCAATCTTGCTTGCTTGATGCTGGCAGCATCATAATTTTTTATAATGAGACCATAAGGTCTCTTTTCCTCATTAGGGATTTTATCCAAAACGTTTACTCCCTAAGTTTAATGGCGTGAAAATATATAGCCTAAAGCGTAACGTAAGTGTAGGGCTTTTTATTAAAAACAATAATTATTCAAAAATATGCTGTAATTGCTGACATCTTAGGCAACAAAGAAGTGTGTGTTTAGGCTTTATTGTAATAGTATAGATTATGGAGCCTTGAGAATTCACGGCACTATCATTTTAAAAGAATACCATTTACTATTAATTCCATTTCCAAAACTAAGCAAGTCCGAGAATGACGTATATTTGAAGATTGATGGAGTCTGTCTTAACCATATTGTTTACCTGGGTGTACAAATTAGTCTTGCGCCACAAAAGTTATATGCCAAATTCGGTCAAAATTAGTTAAATGAGCTATAATCTAACCATTAATAATAATAATAACTACCATTATTCCGATAGTCGTTTCGGTACACGGGCTGATAGCGAAGAGCTTCGACCAACACCTCAAGAAGCTCTCGCTAGACAGTTGGACGATTCAAGAGGCGGTTATTTTAGAAACCGCACGAATAGTGAGGAGGTTCCTGTCTCTGCAGCCCTGACCACTGGTTGCTTGAGTCATCGGATATCGCAGCCGGTGGTGCTCTATTTTTTATATAATATATTTTATTTTAATTTTTATGTTCTTGTAAAATGTATTATATAGAGAGTAAGAAATAAAGATATATGGATAATAATAATAAACATTTAATCAGCCCAAAAACACATTGCAACATATTAAACAATACATACAGACAGATCTTGAATACATGTATTAACAATAGAAATCAATGACCAATCGCCAGTCTAGAAATGATTTTAAATAAATAGTTCAACAATGTTCACTATTCTCTCTCTGTAAGTATGATTCATCATCTCATACGAGTTGTCTCATGTTTGTTCAGTCTGTCGGTTCTCATTGTTGAAAAACTTGTATAGAAACATTCTCATCTCTCTCATTTTTCATTGGAAAAAAGTGAACAATATGTCAGATGTGGAATTTAAATTTTGCATGTAATCAGAGTTTTGATACGTAAAGTTTTAACTTATTTGATTATGTTAATAATTCGAGACAGATCGAAATTTAGGGCCTGTCCCACCAAATTGTAAATTGTCTGATAACAACCCAACGTGTAAAATTATGGAAATATCAGATTTTGTCACCTTATCTGACAGTGACGAGATTTTTAAACTATCTGAGCTTCTATCAGCGAGTGATGGGACAGGCCCTAAGTCTTATTAAGTTTGTAAAATGTATTGTTTTACTGGTAAATAAGTGCTTTTAACTAGTTTTGACATTGTATCATCGTATTAGCGATCGATAGCTATTCGTTTGATGTAGATTCGCGGGAAAAAGTTAGTGTTATAATAAAAATGATTAAAAAGTCACCTTATTATTTATTTATTATCACATAGCAATGATATTAAAATGTGTATACATAGGTATGTAAATGTTTAAAAAAGGAACTATGCAACATGCTGAAATAATGTAATCATTGCATCGTGCATTATGGAGAATTGTAATCAAATTGACCTAGGAGCTAGGAGCGTGAGATTTGTATACTTTTTATATTAACCAATATATTCTGAAACGACGTTTAAATAAAACCGCGCCTTAAGTTATTAAAATTTTGAATATCAGATTATAAGCGGCACGTCCGAACCGAAGTGTTCAAGATTCATTTAAAAATTCAGCCGTAAAAATCACGGGTAGAGCTTTCTCCTGTTTCGAATAAAGTTTCACGGCTGAATATTGGAACTCAAATTCAAACTCATGTGAACTGGCCGTAATTATCTGTATCTATAATATACTTTTTTTGTCCCGCGACTGCGTCCGCGTGAAATTAAAAAAAAATGTGAGTAGCCTATGTGTTCATCCAGACTATCCTTTACATCTATAACAAATTTTAACGAAATCCGTTCTGCGGTTTATGCTACAATCTATAACAAACATCCATCCATCCATCCATCCATCTAAACTTTCGCATTTATAATATTAGTAAGAAGTAAGATTATAATAAGGTATTGAAATAACTCAAAAACTTCTAGACCGAGGTCAAAAACTCTTACACCATTAAAAAGCTACATTATCAGTGAGTGACAAAGGCCATGCTTTTTTTTGTATTTAGTTTCACGTGGGTGAAGTCGCGAGCAACAACTATATTTATAAAGAAAATGACAATATAACATATATTAATGCAAACGAACATACTTTATGCACCTTTGTGATCATATCGTAATCACCTAATGTAATTTTTAGTTAAATATTACTTCGATGCATTGTTTCGATCCACACCATTTTCATCAAATAATAACTGGCATTCAATTCAATTATTATATTATATTATCTGTCCCTTTATTCTGTAAATATTAAAGCATTTGTGCAAAATAAAACAATCGAACAATTGCTATGAAAGAATAATCAATTCTAATTAGACCTTGATCAAACTAAATGAATAATTTTTCCATTATAACAGTTTTTGCTCTCTATTCCGACTGCAACACAGATTTAGAAATTAACGAGTACTTTGTTCAATTGAAACATTTGTCTACTTATTAAAAAATTACAAATTAAAATTGATTAACATTGTATTATTTAGGTCAGAATAAATCTAGCGGAATGTTTTTTTTATTTTGACGTCAATTGTCATCTTAAATTTAGATATGACGATTAAAAATTAATAGAGATGAATAAATTAGAAGTGTACAGATTGTGCCAATATACTGTTAATCACTAAGTAATATATCTTAAAATGCGAAACCTTAGATACTTATAAATGCTTACCGGATCTTGATGAAAAGCACAGATATAGCAGATAATCTTAAAAAACACATAGGCTTCGAACGACTTCGCACTAGGCTTTGTTAATTTCTAATACGTCACGTATTAGAAATAAACTTAGTAAGACGTCACGGGCAAATCGAATAGAATAAATTAAATAAAAAAGCCCAGTGTTGCTTGTACTTATGTATTGTACTATTTGAAATTGAAAGTACAGACTAAATAAATTTAACTTTGTCATTTCAACAATCCGTTGTTAATGATATCTAACAATGTTCATGGTCCATTGATTATTTATTCTTCTATTTACTTTTTAAAGGCGCATAATGTACAATCTGACATAATCTACTGTAATGTTATCAAGTAATATTTGATTCAAAACTGTCTTTTACTGTTAATATCTGCTTCCTTGAACAATCTATACAAATATAATAAAGCGTAAACACACACTTCTTTGTTGCCTAAGATCTCAGCAATTACAGCATATTTTTGGATAACTCTTTTTTTTAATAAAAAGCCCTACACTTACATCAGGCTTTAGGCTATATATTTTCACGCCATTAAAAACCCTGATGTGGGAAAGAGAATATAAGTTGCTGTCAACATCAAGGAAGCAAGGTTGTCATCATGTCATGTCATTTTGACATTTGCAATTGATAATTTGACAAATGTAAAAAATAAAATGATTTTTTTTATAATTTTATGCGCATGAAGTCGCGTGGGAACAGCTAGTATTATAGAAAATCTTTCATAACACCAATACTTTGTAGACCTTGAGGTCATCTCGTCTATCGTTCGCCCCCAGTCTCACCATCGGATGGCGACGCGCATACAGTATGTGTTATGCTTCATGATGGAGTGAGAACATCATCGGACCTACAACGGTGGAGAACATGATGGACAACATGTTTTAATGGAAGAAACATAGAACAAAGTGAGCAAATACGCCGCCGTAGTTCTAAAGAAAGTAGATCGTACTGAACAAGAACGGCGAAGAGCCAATCTAACAGACTCAATGAGATTAAGCGCAGATTGCAAGCAGGAAAAGCGCAATTACAGATACCAATGAAATAATACTTCAAGGTAGTTCCGTGGGGGGACAAAGGGGGGGAATCATGCTAGGCTAGGTGAACACTAATGACCCTGAGCCAGACACACCAGACATGTACGTCCCATATCTATAAAGTGCTATAAAGCATTCTTCCCTCTATAAAAAGCTTCGTGATTTTTATTCGAGTTTTAAGCGTATCTTCTCTCGGCCACCTTAACTCCGGCGATAAAGGTCTACAATAACTAATACGAATAGAACAATTAAAGATCTTTAGTATTTACAGTTAGTGTGAAAGTAAAGCAAGGTGTGACGAATGGTGAGTTTACATAATGGCACTTTACAGTGGGTCATAGATTCCATCATCCGGTATACAATAAACAATGAAAGTGAACTTGTATAACTAGTCATCGTCCTGACATTACAATAAAGATATTTTAATGTTGACTTTTATTATTTAGACGTGATGCTGTTATTTTTATTATTATTTGACTTAGTTATCAGACATATGAAATAATCTGTATTTCATTTAATACTATAAACTAAAGAACGAAGTGAATGCCATATGCAGACATCCGCATTTATAGAAAGGTTAATAAACAAAAGTGGGAAACCTAAGAGTGTTTATTCAGCTTTCTAGTCGTATTCTCCCTCCTCATTGCTCCCCATCCGTTACTTATAAGGATAGGGTGAGAAAGGAGGTCTGGAATGATGATTATATGTATTTTATTTACATAACTACAGTACATTTTGTATGTTGTATAATCTCAAACGTAAAAATTGTTATTGCATATTCTACTACTACACTCTACATAATATTGTACAACCGCACCCGCGGACAAACTAATCATATGGTTTTTGCGAGGCCATATTTGTATGTATATTTCAATTGTGTTTTGTATAATTTTCAATAAATGAATGAAAATTAGGTCTCCACGCACTCAATCGAATCACGGAATTACTTCCCCTTCGCGCCTGTCGTACTGTGTGTGGTTGACGCATGTTGTTGTTAAAATGAAAAAAATGACAGTGAATATTTGAGTTACTCTATTTGCATTTTATAACATTACTAGCTGTTGCCACGCGGCTTCATCCGCGTGTAATTATAAGAACTTTATTTTTTGTTTACATGTGTCAAATTATCATTTGCAAATGTCAAAATGACATGACATGATGACAAACCCTGGCAATTTTTTTTCTTGATGTTGACAACTTGTAGTTTATGGTCCCTTTCCTACATGAAGGCGTTTTTCCAACGTGTTTATCCAAAAGTTTTATACCGTGAAAATATATAGCCTAAAGCGTGTCGTAAGTGTGTGACTTTTTATTAAAGACAGATTTATTATGACAGACAGATACATTGTGTAGCCTAAACTGCTGAACTGATCTTGAAATTTGAGATAGAGGTTAGTCTGGAAGTAAACATACGCCACTTACTTACGTTTTTATTATTTAAATCCACGCTGACGGAGTCGCGTGAGAAAGCTAGTTGTTATATAAATGGCACTTAAAATAAAAAAAAAACTGTACAAATTTGATTTGAATGATATCCATAGCATTTAACCAGTTCTAGGGCAAATTCTGAGAAATTATAGTTTCAAAGATTATTACTAAAAGTAAATACAGTATGTTACATAAACACAAATATCGTTTTAGCAACAGGATGTCTACAATGTGAAGGAAAGGAAACTAAAGTGAAAATATTAATATTCTGTTATAATCTATACTAATATTATGAACAGGAATAGAACAGTGTTAGAGCCCGCTTTAACATCTTCGCACGAATGGGCCGGCTCGCCCGGTGCAATACCACGACCACACCGACCACACAGAAAACAGGCGTGAAGTGAAAGCAATTCCGTGTTTCGTCTGATGAGTGTGGTGCCGAAGGCGTAATTTTAGTCCCTTTCCCGTTCCAATGTTTTATTAAGAAGAAAGGATGGGAAGGAAAATTGGATTTGACGGTGGAGATGACGCATAGGCAGGGGAAATATGCGCTTTATGTGCGTTTCCTCCTCCGTCAGTTAAGGGTATGCAACGCATCTGCAATTGCGGATGTTTGTGGGCAGCGGTCGTTATCCATTTGGGTGAATTCAGGTGTTATAAAAAAAAAACAAAAAATGGAAATATTTTAAAATGTGACGAATAAACTCAAAAGTATTGAAGCGATTTAATAAAAATCTTTTCCAATAGTAATGCTACATTATAACTAAGTTATAATTATAAGAGATATTAATGTTTATATTACAGCGTAGTTAATAGTAGAAAATAAAGTTTGTACATTAATTGCGAACATTTTGATGGCCACGAATCATTATTTTATTAAATATTTATAATGAGGAAATTGCATTGAAACACGCAACACTGTTAGGGTTCATTTATTTTTAAAACAGAAAAAAAAACTAAATATCGTATGTAACATTTTCTTATTAAAATACAAATTAGTCGAAAAACATTACCCTGTCCTGTCGTAATAAACCAAAAACCTGCAACCAATATATTTCAATCTATATCTATACTTACTTAATATTATAAAGAAGAAAGATTTGGATTTTTGGATTTTCGTATGTATTGAAATAACTCAAAAACTACGAGGCCGAGATCAAAAATTCATGCACCGTTAAAAAGCTACATAACAACTGAGTAACATAGGCTTTAAAACGTTTTTTTAAATCCACGCTGACGAAGTCGCAAGCAACAGCTAGTGTAAGATAATATTAAACCAACGGAACCCTACTATTTTTGAATCGCCAGTTTATTCTTTTTAAAATCAAAGCTCGTCACATTGGATTTGATTTTTGTCCCGCAATAATGTCTGCTATAAAATTATATAATTTGAAGATAAAAGGGCGGGAACTCTGGTGGCATGAATATAGACGCAAAAAGTTCCGTCAACGTAGAAAAATTAACATGGAAATGGCTCTAAGGGATATCTTCAAGAAATGTTTTGTAGGATATACAAAAAATAGTTCCATTTTAGGCTTCAAGCAGATGACTGACCCTAACACGTCAATCACGAAAAGGTAATTCTTAATTCGAATGAATCGATACGTACTTTAATCAAGTCTGAATCGAATTCAATAGTTGCAAAAAAAAAAAAAATCGATGTTTTTTTTTTTCGATTATTTGTTACATTTTTTAATGTTCAAAAAGAAGGGTTTACTGATACAACATTGTAACGATGGTCATTATTGCATTAAATATGTAGGTACATATTGGAAAAAAAAATATGTTCGCCATTACAAGGTTATATTGCTGGATTGTAATGAAATGTCAAGGTCAAATGTGACATTTTAAATTATTATATTATTCCTTCTGCATTTATTCTAATGATAATTTAAAATGTAATTTATAGACTTTTTTTATAAATTTGCGATGCCTATCTTTATTTTAAAAAGATAACGGTTACATTATTTATTGCAGGCTTGCATGGTTGCTGGTTTTTGGTTTAATGTGCGGAATAGGAGGTTATTTTCTCTGGTATCTATGGTTCGGAAGTCTCTCCAGCCCATTGATAGTCAATATGGAATCATCTATGTACCCGATATCCAAAATAGAATTCCCAGCAGTTGCCATTTGCAATATAAATATAATAAGCAAAACAGCTCTATTAGAATTAGAGCGGAACATGTAAGTAAATTGTAACCCTATTACACTCCGGGAAACAATAATTAAAAATAGAACCTCACACAGACGTACCAACATAATTATATAAGCACTAACTCTTGCCGGCGACTACGTCTGCGTGGAATTTAAAAATAAACAAAACTGCTCTTCCAGAATATTTCTAAGTTCTTTCTCCTGTGGCTGTCATGTCAAGTTATTATGCTATTTTCTATGTCAATATAGGACATATTTTCTGACAAATCTAACCTGTTAAACTATACTGTCTGAAATGGATTGTTTTGATGTGGACCGGTGGATGGTACTAAGATACCACAATTTGATTACATGAAAAGTAAAGATCAAATACAAAGAATGAAAAATGCATATTTATACTAACTAACTGTTCCCCTGCGACTTCACCCTCATAAAATTATGAGAATTTTAGTTTATTGTTTACATGTGTCAAATTATCAATTGCAAATGTCAAAATGACATGACGCTGACAAACCATGGCAAGCTTGCTTTCTTGATGTTGGCAGCAACTTATAGTCTCTTTCCCACATAAGGGCTTTAATCCAAAGCATTTACCATAAATTTATATATATTATGGTTATAAATTAATATATATAATACCATTTACCTAAAGCGTGACGTAAGCGTAGGGCGTTTGACTAAAAAAGAATTCTTCAAAAATATGCAATAATTGCTGACATCTTATGCAACAAAGAAGTGTGTGTTTACTCTTTATTATCAAAGTATAGGTAGATGTGCGTGGGCATAATCTAAGTGGAAATTGTTAATACTTTTGTATAATTAAACCGAATATCGATAGTTCATAGTTGGTCACTTTGCGCTCATTTTCGGCACTATGATACCCGTTAATTAAGTATGGTATTTACGTTTATATATTACTTTTCGATACTTCATACGCGCGATTTATCAAGCTAATCAACCTTATTTAGACAATCTATAACTACGTCACGCAAAATAAGCGCTAGCCGTGGAGTTGCGGAAACTCTAGCCCCTACTAATACTACTAACTACGTCACGTCTTAGCACACGTCCGACCATCAAAAACGATCATTTAAAAACAAACTTAGGTCCTGGCTATTTCAGAAAGCTCTGTATAGTGTGGAGGAAATTTCCTACCATGATTGTCTTGTTTTCCATTCAGAATATCTGTAAAAAAAATAACATTTTGACCTATAAAAAATAACTTTTACCAATAAAATATTTGTACAACCCACATACTCAGTTAAGTTTATCGTTATACGAAGTGTTGAATATTTTCAGTTTCAAGACAAATGTAAGTGGTAACATAACTTTTAGCCGAATTAGACAATTGGGAAGACTGCTCGATTATTCCTATGACGTTGACATAGAATCTTTCCTACATGAAGAATTCCTTAACAATAATGACGGAGTAAAATATGAGCCTAAGGTTATATCTACTATGAAAAAAGTGAGTTTATTTAATAACAAATTCACAGTCTAATGAACATTCGTTCGTAACCCTTAATTCGATAGTGTGACGACCTACTAATTATTTTTTTTATATATGGTAGCAAACGAGCAATCGGCCACCTGAATCCGCCAAACTGGCGAAGCTACCCCTGACCATAGATGCGTTGCCTACCCTTAAGTGACAGAGGACGAGACGCACATAAGAGGATGTTTACCCTTCCTATACGTCTCCTCCACTGTCAAATCCATTTTCATCAAATTTCTTATAAGAAAAGGATGGGAAGGGAACGAGGAACTAAATTTGGGTCTCCGACACCACACGAATCAGACGAAACACAGAATTGCTCCCACTTCATGCCTGTCTTCTGTGTAGTCGTGGTATTACACCGGGCGAGCCGACCCATTCGTGCAAAGATGTTAAACCGGGCTCTACTATTGTTAAAATCTATTTTATTTAAATAAGTGAAACAAGTATTGGTAGAAATTTTGCTTATACTTGGTTTATTCCTAAATTTAACTTTATACCGCGTTTATTTGTAAGGCCGATAGACATTCTAACCATGCACTGCAATGCAGAACTGATAGGGTCTCTCGCTCAGCTATATGTTAAGTACCCCTGGGGATAAAAACGCTGATATTCTGCAAAATACTATGCGTCCTCCGTATGATCTCTTATCCTAGTAAAATAACAAATTAACGAAGTTTTTTTCCTGTTATTCCTCATATTGCTACTTGTTATAAACAGAGTTTGCAGTTCATCACTGACATAATCCAATGTTAACCTCCAGTTGGCGCCAAAGTGTAAAGAAATGCTCCTGCTGTGCTTCTGGGCAGGAAAGAAGGTCGATTGCGAAAGCATCTTCGATATCCGGCGCACAAACAAGGGATTCTGTTGCACTTTTAACTACATCCTTAATTATAACGCAGCTGGAACGTACGGAAATATAATATAAACTTTTTTTAATCCTGTACCCTTGACTCCGTCCACACTATATTCTACAAATGTGCCATCGAGATTCGTTCACCCGTTTCAAAGATAACTTCTAACAAATATCCATCCTTTCATTTAATATTTTACAATACTACATGATTTACAAATGAAAGCCCACACCGATTTATCCTATTTATAATTTACATTACCGATGCCTCTCTCTCACACTAACACCGGCCGCGTTCCGCGCTCTTCTGTGCGAGGTTCTTATACTAAGGTGAAAAATGTATTTTTTATTTTCAGACCCTCCAAACGAATCTCCCAAGTAAAACGTCAATATTATCCTGGTCCCCTATTCGGTTTGAATTTATTAATCGATCCTCTCATAGAAGACTATACTTATACTACTCGCCCTGGACAAGGTGTAGAAGTAAGAAATTTTTTATTCATATTTAAGGGGCTGTTTTTTTAATCACAAACTAGTTATCTGATTCTATCTGAATATGAATTCATGCAGTTTATGACTAGTTGAACCTACTTTAAGCAGTTCATCAAACTTAACCTTGTAAGGGCGCGACGATCATACATTTATTTTTTAAATTTCGGTTAACGACATAATATTTATTGTAATACTCACCTGTTAATATTAAAGATGTTACAAAAAATGTCAAAAAACAAATTGAGAAGCTCCTAATTTTTTGATGTCGGTAAAAACAGAACTATAAATATCAATTTTTATAGTTACTAATATTTATTCATATTTGAAGTCGGTATTCATTTAATTTAGTCGCAAGTCGAATCTCAAAGTAATGATGACATATGCTATCGTAGATTCTAATCTTCGAGCCAACGCACTACGCGGACCCGAACAGTGGCAGGGTGTCGCAGCGTTTTGTACAGCCGGGTCAATTCTTGCAACTCGGCCTCAAATCCATAAAACAAGTGGCCACGCCCGAAGTGCGCAAATACAACCCTGAAACGGTACGTACACCCAACACTTTCACCGCTACATTTGACCGAAGACGAGACTGAAATGTACATGTAACACTCCTTCTGCCATCACCAGACAGAAGACAAGTTTACCAAGACTATCCAAGCCTATACTATCCTACTATACATCTTCAATTTTAAATGCTCAGTTTATTATCGCGCTATTGTTGCTAAGTTTCATCTATTGCGGAAGTTCAGGGAAATTATAACAACATTGTCATAGGTTAGTTTCGCCAGATTTCTCGAGGGACAAGATAGTTATGTTTTACACCGGTATGCATTTTTAGACAATAACATAATCGTAAACAACGTAAATCTATTTTGTTACTGTACTATCTACTTTATTCCTGCCAGAATGGCGCGTTTATCCATAAGTACTTGTGATTGACATTGACAGTTGTCATAGGGCTGGCACGTGTATGCCAATGTTCTAGTGTTGTGCCGCAACTCCGGCACGGTTCCGATTTCTTCTTAATAGTATGGCATTATGTATGTTGGTTTGTATCTATGTCATTTCATATCATTATTTTAGACAATTAAGGTGTCATACGATTTTATGTGTTGTCGGAGTTACAGCTAATCCGGTCTTTTAATAATTCGAATTGCATTTGTTTATTTATAATGTTGCCACTAACTATTATTCTATTTCTGACAGCGGAAATGTCTCTTCCGCGACGAACGTAAGAAAGAATACGAAGACATGTATTCTTATAGCGCCTGCATCTACAACTGTCGGATAAAAGCAATACACGCACTATGTGGGTGTACACCATACGCTTTCCCGATAGTTTCAGATAAGCCTACTTGCACTTTAAATGATTTATCATGCCTGGATAAAATAAAAGGTAAAGTTAACTTTAATTAATTAAATTCTGAAGTTTACAATAAGATATCTTTATAATTATCACCAAATAGTATGACCACTTGGTGATAAATTTGCCTTAAAAATCATATGCGACACTAGTCTAGGGTTACTAAAGAAGCCAGTGCCCCTTTTTAGGTCGAAATTAACATGACTTGTCTGTTGTGAGAACAAACAACCTATACGTCTAGTCAAAACTTACCTAGTTAGATAATGTTGTAATGACTCAAACACTTCGCTTCATAAACGCCGATTAATCGCATTTGGAATTGAAACGTTGCCTTATTTGAGATATTACATCAAAGCCTTGCAATATTTTTGGCCGCTGACCTTCAGTTGCGTCACGAGAAGTGCTGCTTCACCTAAAATTGTGTTCTGCTCAGCGACTAGTGCGTGCGATCGAGCCGCCATAATATTCGAAGAATATAGATGTTTAAATTTCGTTTCCATATTCAGCTGTTAGTACATTATTTCAAAATACATATTGCATTAAATACCACTAGTTATGACTACGTTAGGTTATCCTATAAACTACAATGAGTGTCTATCTCGTATGAAGATCATTATGTATATTTTGTAATGGTTTTAGAGAGGCTTCTTCTCATATATCCAATTGGTTCAAAAAATACCGAAGGCTTAGATAGAGAGTTCCAGGAGTCGTTATACTGCCCACAATGTCATCCAGACTGCGAATTTACAAAGCACGAAAGCCAAGCAACCAAAATTAACTACCAACACCAATACATTAAAACCTTGAAATTACATAGGTAAGTATATAATACTTCTGACCCAAATACGAAATAAAAACTATACCACCTTTTGAGTTGAATCAAATCATACTATCATACTTAATAATAATAATAGAATCTGCACGCATTGTGAGGAGGTTCCTGACTCTGCAGTCCTGACCACTGGTTGCTTAAGACGTCGGATTTCGCAGCCGGTGGTGCTCTATTTTTTCAAATATGCATGTTTATATTTATATAAATCAATTAAAATTTATTATGTAGTAAATAAGCGAATATATGGAATAATAATAACTCATTTTTACTTCATACTAATAATATAAATGCGAAAGTTTAGATGGGTGTTTGTTAAGAATTTGTAGCCTTAACGGCTGAACGGATTTCGATGAAATTTGGTACAGATATAGAGTATAGTCTACAAGAACACATAGGCTACTCACTCTTGTTTTCTTATTCCACGCGGACAGAGTCGCGGGCAAAAGCTAATTATATATAAAGTAACGTTTCATCAACGTGCTAAGTAGCCTTGAAGATTACCCTTTTTTAAGAATTCTTATAATTTTTTTATGAATTAGTTCTAACGTCTTTAAAAATTTTGAACACTGATCTAGAAGAGGGATTGCAAACCACCTGCCATTAATCACACGACCCAATATTTTGACCACGTCACTGATCACAAAATTCCTTTTGCACCACTAAAAAAGTATGAATTATATGAGAAGCAAACAACATTATGACGTTTTATTGCAATTTGTGAACATATTTAAATGTAATCATTTAAAATCGATTATTAACAATATCGATATTCCGAAATACAGATGAAACTATTTTATGATAATTAATAAGAGTTGCAAATTATTATACTTCTGTTCGCAGTGTTGGCTCACATAAAATTAATGTAACGAATAAATGTTTTGTGTCCATATACCAATCCGCATTTCATGGGACCTTGAATCGCTTGGACGTGGTACAGTACTGGTATGAACTAGTTAGTAAGTACTATTAAATGTTTCGACACAACTGACTTTTCTAAAATATAGACTTATAAATTATTTAAAAAACACACACAAACTCAACTCCAAGGCGACAACGTAAAAATATCGAACCCTCCGTGGCGATAACTAGAAAAATACTAAGCTTGTTGGCGACTGAAGGCTGAGACTGCGCCTGAACGTCCGAGCTACACCTTGCCATGTATTTTATACTACTACCCCCCACTATTCCTTCCGTTTTCTAATATTTTCCTAACAATATTGTTGTTTTAAATAAAGATAAATAGTATTGATAAATTGCACCGATTAACAAATAAATGCGAAAGTTTAGATGGATGGATGAATGTTTGTTAGAGTTTGTAGCCTAAACGGCTGAACGGATATCGATGAAATTTGGCAAGGATGTACAGCATAGTCTCGAATATCACATAGGCTACTTGATTTTGTTTTTTTTTATTCCGCGCGGACAAAGTCGCGGGTGAAAGCAAGTTAACCATAAATCAACACGACGGAACTTTAAAATTCCTCCACATAGAATGTAATAGCTGTAAAATCGTAATATCACTGCAGGTGTTACGTTTAGGTAGATGAAATTTCCTTTTTACTATTTTATTTATTTACCTTTATTGCAGGTAGCGTCGGCAGTGTTGCTGGGATTTTATTAAGCATATCTATCATTAGCATATTTGAAGTTCTTTACTTTTTTGTTTTTAAATTCCCTATTTTAGTTATTAAGCTATTTTTGAGAAGGTTACAGTACTGTTACTGCCGTTAATTCCTAGCAACTAAAAGTTCTAACTATTTCATATTGAATATTTATATCTAATCATTTAATTATTTTATTTTAACTTGCTCAGTTTATTTGGATCAAATATAGTAATTCTAATTAGATTTATTGAAAGTTGACAATTTGGATTAATATCTTTAGTTCCATTGACAATAAAATATTAATTAAGAAAACACCAAACAGTAGCATTTTTAAAATAATTTACAATATATGTAAGCAACTCTTCTTTTATTATTATTTGCCATCTTCAGTGAGCTTTCTTGTGTTTATACACTAAACGCAACTAATATGTCGCTAAGTAAAAAATGATGTAGAATTACATAGGAAAATTAGTTAATACTAATATAATAAGATACTCTTAATAGATTATAATGTTAACACCAAACAAAACTCTCGGAGCAACACTTTATCTGAATTGACATAAATATCGATTAAACGACTACTAACGATTATAAAATCGATTTGGAAGAAAGAAAAATTATATCTTATTTTTAGAACAGTTGATTAATAGATATAAGACAGCATAATTATAATATACAACATTTATATTTTCCTAACATTCCACTTGTAGTACTTTCAACACTAAATAGGACTAGAAGTTTTTTTTTAATTTTAAGTATTCCTTGTACATAATTTATCATAGCATTCGCTTAATTCATATAATTAATGTAATAATTACTTACAAATAGTTACATAACTTATTAGATTTGGCAAAATACGCAGTTAATGCAAACGCGTCTATAGCATTAGCTAAATTTTTCCATAGCTATTTCCGAGAATGCGCGTCATTTATCTGTCAAAAAGACCGTGGCAGGTTTGGACAAAGTTTCAGAGTCGCAATTTGCGATATTTATCAAAAATGTCCGACAATTCACCACCGGGAAACAGTGATGGTAAGGGATTATAAAATCTGTGCTATAATTAATATGTTACATGATATACATTGTCATAATTTTTTTTATCTTGTATTTGTACACAGAACCTGTCGTTGACAACATCCCGCCAAATGCATTCGAAGGTTTAGGTTCCAGACTTCGCGATCTAGATGTTGATTCAATTCGTCGTTATTTAGCATCAAAGCTAGGCTTTTATGAGCCATCAGAACCTTCGACACCGACAGAACAAGTATTGGAAGAAGTTTCCTTAGACGGAATTGTGAAATGGATACAGAGTGATAAATGCAAAAATATAATAACACTGTCAGGTGCAGGAATCTCTACTTGTAAGTGGTCTTTTACCTTTTTTAATATAAATCAAAAAATACATGTTATGTAAAAGATGTTATGATTTGTTTGAAACCTAGTTTTACATAGCACACTTTTAATGCACTCTTAATTTTTTTTTTATATGTTTAGCTGCTGGAATTCCCGACTTCAGGAGTCCTGAAACAGGTTTATATCACAATCTACAAAAGTACAATCTCCCGGAACCACAAGCAATATTTGATATTAGCTTCTTCAGAGATAATCCTAAGCCATTCTTCACATTGGCCAAAGAATTGTACCCGGGAAGTTTTAAACCAACAATTTCACATTATTTCATCAGACTTCTACATGAAAAAGGTAAAGTTTATATTTTCGATGCATTTAAACTATGAAACATGTTAAAAACTAATATAAAAGTGCTATAAACCAAACCAAAACAGATGATTGTGTTCATGTCATTTCTTTGTAGTATGGAATCTACAATCTTACTTATAAAAATCAAATTATTTAAACTTTCGTGAGACATTTTAATTAATTATTTACGGCTTACTCTACTATATACTACGGTGCCGTCTTCGGAAAAAAGTATATGTGAGTAAGCCATAAATAATTAATTATCTTACTTATCATTTAAATTAGAATTTTTAGAAATACTACCATTAAAATATTGTGAAGCTAAAATTCCACAGATAAATTTGCAAACAGTATAGTATGAAATAAATATTAACACTGACACTGATATAAAGGCGTTTTCAGGATTATTGCTCCGTCATTACACACAGAATATTGACACATTAGAGAGAGTCGCCGGCTTACCGGAGGACAAAATTGTTGAAGCACATGGAACATTCTACACCTCACACTGTCTTAATTGTAGGAAACAATACTCTTTGGAATATGTTAAAGGTAATATGTTCAAAATTTTACAACAAGAACGATTTAATCAAAACATTGGCTAAAACAACGAAATCTACGAAAAATCCAAGATGGCGGCGATTTCGAAAATGGCGGATTCATAATTTGTATTTTTATATTAACTTAAAAACTACTGGGCCAATTTCAAAAATTCTGTCACCTATAAAAAGCTACGTTATTGTAATTCCGCGCGGATAAAGTCGCAAGCAACAGCTAGAGTGTGAATATTTTCAAATGTCAAATTCACAGTTTTAATTTCCAGAAATAATATTTGCCGATCAAATACCAATATGCACAGAATGTCCAGGCATTATCAAGCCGGATATTGTATTCTTTGGTGAGAGTTTGCCTGAGAGGTTCCAGACCTGTCTCCAGGAAGACTTCCAGAAGTGCGACTTGCTCATCATTATGGGATCATCCCTAGAAGTACAACCCTTTGCATCTCTCATAGATATGTGAGTTATTATTTAATTACTATATGTTTTTGTAATGTGCGGGAATTAGGTAAATATTGCGTCTTATGAAAAGAAATGGGGTGAAAACTGTAAAATTCTAAGTCGCCTTATTAAATAAATATAGGCTTATGTAACAAATATTGAAAAATGTTTAATCTTCAAAAGTAATGTAAGACTTATTTAAGAAATTACATTTCTAAGGAATAGATTGTGTGTTAGAAATTGAATTTTAAATGCCAGTACTTGGAAGTAATGAATTCTGAACTAGAATAAATATTGACAAAGACAATGGAGCCATGAAAAGTCAAGTTAGTGAATATTAAATTTGGGCAATATAAATTTCTCAAAAGTCATTATCTTCACACATTTTAAAACAATTTTTTTTTTTTGTCACATTTACAACACTGTCAATCACAGTACACAAGACAAGTATTGGGTAATATGTAGGGTGCCGGAGTGGTGTCCGAGGTTGTTGATCAACCGTGAGAAGGCTGGAGAGCGTTCGCCCCTGCTGCGGCTGTGCGGGCTGGCGGGGGGGCTGCAGCTGGACGAGCGCTCCGTGCGCGACGTGGCGCGTCTCGGGGACTGCGACCACGGCTGCCGTGACCTCGCACAACGCCTTGGATGGGGGGTATGTCACCGATAACTATTACCCTAGCTTACAACTAAAGTCAAAATTGCAACATGTATAGAATAGTCTCATTACCATTATGACAAAAGGCAACACTGCAACATGTATAGATTAGTCTTATTACTGTTATGACAAAAGTTAACATTGCAACATGTATAGAATAGTCTTATTGCTTTATTACTATAGTTCTGTTGTCAGTTAAAAAAAAGTGTTTGAACATCAATACTAATCTATAGTAATGGTATAAAGAGAAAACATTTGTATTTTTGTACGTATTGAAATAACTCAAAAAGTACTGCGCCGAACTGAAAAATTTTTTTTCACCATTAGAAAGGTAATTTATCTGAGAACAAAATTGGCTATATTTTTTATTTTCTCGCGAACAAAGTCGCAAGAAACAGTTAGAATAAAAGGACATCAATTCCATTCACTTTACCATTGGTTTATTTAGAATTCTACATGACCTCAAATGCATTTAACTGGTATATTTTCAGGAGGAATTACAAGCATTAGTGAGTTTAGAACATGAACGCTTGGAGCGGGAAGTAGGCATTGCACCACAGGTTCAGGTTTCCATCCCGGAGACAGCGGACTTAGCGGGGACCAGCTCTGAAACTAAACTGTAAGCAAACCATGGCTTCTGCTCCTGCCTGCGCAATTGGCCAGTACAGGTAGATAGTACTCAAGCACTGGATTAGTCAACAAGAATGTTGCCAAGTCGGCCTGGTTTGCACTTAAGTCTAACTAATGGCCATTTATGAACCAGTCAAACGGTGGTAATACACATGCCAGTAAAATGGAAATCACTAGTTAGACAGTTACATGCGCGTAATATGTTCTCATACCAGGAAAATGTTCAAGAGGAGCTCTGTATCCCCCTCTTACCAGCTCCTCCCCAATAAGGGTTAAGAGTAACCTAAATTAAGGATAACTTGTATATCAGTAACTGTCACAAAATTAAACCATGCTAGTGATTGCAGCTAGAACGTGAAGTTTTCGTGCACATGTGCCAGCTACTGGCATTTATAATCCTTACAAATATCCACTGGAGTGCTCGCTGCTTGGATAGATTGCTTTTAAGCTGTGTGCCGGTTGAAGTTAGTCAGAAAATTTCCAGTTTCTAATACCGATACCAACCGTCACCACTAAAATGGCGGAAATTAAATTTACCACCATTTTGTAAAATACTAGCAACTACTAGCTTTAGCCTTTCCAGTGGAATATAGTCTATGATTGCAAGTAATAGAGTATTTTCATTGCAACGGCACATGTATTTTCTCCTCTTGTTTGTCAATGATAATGTAAGTCAACATAATAAATCTATATCTTAAAAGTTAAATGTAATAAAATATTAATGGTGTCAATCGAATTGTTCATGAAGTTTTCTGACTAAAGCATTTTATTATGAAATACATCAATAATTTAACTAAACTAGAGTACTAATTTCTATTTTAAACGCGTCGGAACATATTGACATTTCATTCGCAACTCCCCCTCTCCCTATTGACACTAAAAATGTTAAATAAATATAAAAACTACCATAATACAATACTAATGGTAGTCATGGGGAGACTACCTAAATCCTACTACTACCTACACACCTAAATCAAGTAGCGACGCTCTTAATTGACGCCCTTAATATTCTATTAACTGACAATATCTCTATACTCGTTTTGACAAGTTTCAAACGTTTCATATTTTCAAAAACGAAAAAAAACATTTTTAAGTAAATTATTTGACAACTAAAACTGTCAAAACGCGTCTGTCTTTGACTAGTACAGTTTTAGGTTAGGTTAGCATGTGTGCATTTTATGGTTTATCGTGTATACAATGAGAAAAGGCAAAGCATTTCATATCTAGCATTAGATTTTTTTATAATTTAATTAAAAAAATAAAAAACATATAGCTAAAAGTTTATATAATGGCAATAATTGTCTATGCAATACGTCAATAATGAGCTTAATCCATAGACGAATGTATAAAAATATTTTGCTATAAGCTGCAAAAGTAATGTTTAAAAATTCCAATTAATAAGTCTTTCAAAATATTCCTAAAATATATTCCTGATACAATTGATATCAACAAATGACATTTTAATTTATAGTAGTGCATTGTGAATAGTTTTATGGGAGTTATTTATTGTAATTTAGTATTAGTGCATTTTCATTCGTGCAGAAAATAACCCGTGTACCTGCTTTCATACTCTTTAGTAATTCTTTCCTAACATATGACAACCTCCTATAGTTTTATTAAAAACTAAATTAAAAACTAAAAAAAATCTTTAATCAATAAATATTAATATCTAAAATTCTTATATATATTATCATATAATCATAGGATAGTCCATGGACGTCGCCAGCTGATCTGGGTTAGGCGATGACAAGTGGGGGGTAGACTGATAATCAAGGGGGCTAAGTTTTTTTATTTCAAAGAGTAATATTTTACTGAAAAACTGATTAGTCGTTTTTTTTAATTAATTATGTTAGATGTTTCCTCAAATGACTTCCTTTATAATATAGACGGAGGCAATGACTTGTAAATAAATTTAAAACACAAACTGAACTCCAATGCGACAACGCAAAGATATCGAACGTTCCGTGGTGACTAGAACAACACTGAACTTGTTGGCGACTAAGCGCCCTAGCTACTCGCCATGTATTTTATAAAACTAACCCCCCCCCACTATTCCTTCCGTTTCCTAATATTTTCCTAACAATATTATTGTTTAAATAAAGATAAATATTATCGATAAACAGACCAAATAACTTTTTTAAGAATACAGAATATATCGAAATAGTTAAAAAGCTAACATGTGGGTCTTTGCTTATATATCTTAGTTTTTTAATTTATTTTATTTATTTTTACTATTTTCGACTGTCTCGGAAGGGGCATGTGGTGACGCCCATGAGATAATCTAGGTATCGGTATTTTTTAATCACTGAATTATTAAAACATAAAAAAATATTCTCCTACCTTTGAGATAATTTTTAAAAACCAAATATAATATTTTATATTGCATGCATTCTTAATTTTTCCTCTTATAATAAGTTACTTACGAAGTACAATTATTTATTTGCTTGTTTGTTAATAAAAAAATAACTTTTTTATTAATTATGGATTCTTGAGTAAACTTGAGTAGATGAGTTTATTTATTTTTAAAACGAACATGCGTTTATTCTTAAAATATGTACAATATTAATAATAATAAAAAATACTATCATATTGGACTGCTTACAGTAAAATAACGTCAATATGTTGAGAATATTTTTGATTCCATTATACAAAAGTTAAACAAAAATATTAATTAGCAATATATGAAGTTGTGAGATTCGTTAGTATTTAAGACTCAAATAAATACATTTTTAAATGTTTCGAAATTCTCAGAAAATGAAATAAAAAGAGATGCTTTACTTTTGAGTCTTAAATACTGCATAGAGTCAAAGACTGAAACAATAAGCAATGCTGAATGCCTTTAAACATGTATCTATGTATATCCATATATTTATGTAACACATATATAAAAAATCAATTTTATATCATAATCATTAAGGTGGATTTTATTTAAAGTTAATTTAAAATTTTACCTAATAAAGGCATGTTTTAGTGTTGAAGTGCTTAAATTAGTGAGTTAATAAAATGATTTTCTGCCCTGAGTTATCTTCTTTTTTCTCAATTGCATTTTAAAAATCAGTGAGACCATGATCCTATCATAATTCAACAAATGATCATGTTCTGCCCACAACTCTGTCGACATGGAATTAAAAAAAAAAATTGGTGTATGTTTTCTAGACTGTGTTCTACATCTATGCCAAATTTCATCAAAATCTGTTCAGCATTTTAGGCTATAAACTCCAACAAACATCCATCCAATCAAACTTTCGCAGTTATAATGTTAGTAAAATTCACAAGTATTTGTGTAAATGGATGTACGTCTAGGATACCAACAATAAACTTTTTTATAATACTAGCTCGCCTAACTTTGTCCCCGCAGAATTACAAAATAAAATAACTTAGTCTACATGTACTTTCAGACTATGTTTTATATTTATACTAAATAACCGTAGTAAAGAACATCCAAACTAGGATTTACAATATGTAAGGTAGTCTAAATAAGATAATAATTAGTATTAAAATAGATATTTATTATAACCAAAACTTACAGATTAAACATCACATTAATATTAAATACATTTAATTAAAAAAGCCAGCTTTCCAATTCACTCCTTTGCATCGGTGATACCTTCCGTGCTGATAGCAAACATAGCCTCCGTCTCCGGCAGACAGGGGCTGTCGTATATCTTGCATACCCTGTTGTCTCCCCTCCCCTTCCTCAGGTACAGCCGGGTAGTGGACGCGTGTGCTATAATATGGCCTCCAATTGGCTTCTTTGTATCAGCATTGAATACACCAACAGCGTCCACTTGGGCAACTACTTGGTTGGTTATTATCACCGCTACACCAAACTACAAAAATAAAATTGTGAGTAAAGAGTAACACGACTTTTACCTTAATTAAAAAAATCATGACTGACTATAAAAGATGAATATACTATAAAATATTGAGAAAAAGATTCAGAAAAAAAATGAAGTGAGATTCAATTTTATTTTTTTTTATTTTACTTATCGCGTTTACTGGGGAACGATTAGAGCTTTCACCCACGACTCAATCTAGGTGGAATTAAAAAAAAAACTAAGTATACTATGTGTTTTCCCAACTATGTTCTACATCATCAAGATCTATTCAGTACTTTACGCTGCAAAAACTAACATCCAACCACCTAAACTTTCGCATTTATAACTTTGAAGTATGACAATAATAACTATAGTTTATCAAAATAGTTGGTTTAAGAAAATAAAATAAATATTACCTCATCAGCCAGTCGGAGCAACATCCTCATGAAGCGGCCAAGATGTAACTGCCTGGAGTTGAGCTCACCACGGCCTGAGTAGTCTGTTCTATACAACGCTGTTGCACTGTCTACTATCAGTAATGAATATCTGAAAAAAAAAACAATAATGACATGTATAATTGATGTTAAAAAATGAAAATAATTTGGTACTCGCAGCTCAAAACTGGTACAGTTGCTGAAATCTGTGGTTTCCACTTACAGATTACCTTGTATCTTACCAAGACAAGCTCTTCAATTTACAAATAAGCAATTAGGTAGCAATAAGTCGCCCAACAGCATAATAAAAAGCTGTGAATTATTGTCAGTGTTTTTACACGCTCCTTATTTTTAACTTCGCGCTTTAACGCTCATTTTAATATCTGGTTATTTTTTTCGCGTCATCCATGCGATATACGACAGCGATGTCGAAGCGCTAATAGCCTAATGGTTTGGAATATGGACTACAGATCTTGCAGTCAAGGGTCGAATAGAAATGGCTAAAGGAAATATTAGTAACGAGCTGTTGCCCGTGACTTCGTCCGCGTGGTATTAGAAAACATGCGAACTATAAAAATTACAAAAAGCTACGTATCCCTCGGGAACCGGACATTTCTCGGGGATGAAGCTTATCTCATGTGTTTCACTCCAGACTTTGTTTTAAATCTGTGCCAAATTTCAATAAGATATGTTGAACCGTTGCAGAATGATCGAGTGAACATTAAAAAACTAAATTAATGAATCCCACGGGAACCGTAACTATTCCAGGGATAAAAAGTAGCCTATGTGTTCTTCTAGACTATGCTCTAAACCTGTGCCAAATTTCATGGAGATCCGTCCAGCCGTTTAGGTTACAAACGCTAACAAACATCCATCCATACATCCATCTATCTAAACTTTCGCATTTATAATATTAGTAACAAGTAAGATTAGGAAATTAACAAAAAAATCTGCTAGTATTAAGAAAAATTCATACAATTGTCGCTTAAGTCTATTACCACTAGATTTCACAAGTTTTCACTTCATAAAAGATGATTTACCTAGATTCAGCCATCATAGCACAGGCCTGTACAAGCAGCTGCGTCTGATGATCAGTGTTGTAGGCGCGGGCGTAGGCGACATTGTCGAGCACGGCCGCGCCCTCCATGCCGTAGCGCTGCGCCACCGCCAGCAGCCGCTCGGGCCGGAACGTGCCTTCCGTGTCTATATACATACATTTACCTTCACCTCCAGACTGTTCTATTGGTAACTGAAATTAAATTTCTAGACTATAGACAACTAGTACCACACAGTTGGATATAGTTTGACCAATCGACCTATAGGATTTTTCTCATATTGGACCTATCAAATCCATACATTCAAATGACTAATAGGGTAAAAAATCCTTATGCATTGATCTGTGGCCATTGGCTCATCAGGAGAACCGAGGGGTGTAAAAGGCAAAAGATTTATATGTTTTGAAGGGAAACCAGAGTAAAACCAATACGGTAATAATAACGAAGTAACAGCTCACTCAGCCAACTCAAGCCTGGTGAATCTGTAAATGCCTCTTTAAAGCAAACAGTGGCCATTCTGTCACTAAAAAAAACCTAGGGGTGTAGGATTCTTATTGTAGGTTGCTAGGTCGTACTTAGGGTTGTGGTAAATAGTAAGTATTGTGTCAAATTCTTATTCCATAAATAACATACAAATACTGCAATCTTGTTAGCTACAAACATTTGTCAGATGTTATGGAAAATCCAGTCATCTTAGTTAATGTCTACTATAAAACAAATACTTACTAAAATTTCCTCAAGTCAATACATGAAAATATGAAGTGATATTTAGCTCACATGATGACTATATGCAGATATTGTACTAAAATGTGCATGTAAACGGAAACTTTGTTATAACATTGAAGATTAAAATATACCTGACATGTCACTGCTAACGTGTGACATAATTGTGTTTTCCCTGTTCTGAATTCACCAAATATTTCAGTGATTGAACCTGTTTCTATTCCTCCGCCCAACAATCTGTCCAACTCCTTCGATCCTGTTGTTAATTGAATTATTTCTGCTCTGGAAAATTAATATTATAATTCACACAAAATACAAAACTATTGATAGTACATTGGTCATAGAAAATAATTTTTAATACAAAAACACTAAAAAGTTAACAAGTAAACCTTATCACACTCATCTTTATCTATAAAAAAGCAAAGTACTGGATTTATTATCCAGTCTACCCACATTTAGACTTAAAGCATGAACAATGATCTATTCATGAAAGTGGATGTGGATAAAAAGTGAACATAAACTATTTTTTTTTTCATCTTTCATATTTTTTTTAAACCACATTGTATGGAAAAGGATACAATTCATATTTAACTATAAAATATCATAAATTCAAACATATCACTTCCTAGTATACATATCTGATTAAAATGTAATAAATCTGTTGATGTAACTTATTTAGTAAAAAGATTTACGTCTTAATACACAAAAACAAGTTTAAACAAGTTTAGTACCTCTTCTGATGAAATTCTGTTGCAGTTGTAAAGCCCATGGGAACTAGCTTAGAAGCTTCCAATAGTATTTTATCTGCTTTTGCTTCAGATATTCCTTTTATTGTAATCAACCATTTTTTCGGAGCATACGCAACAGACTCCACCGTATGATATCCCGCCTCCTCCAACTTCTTTATATCACCCGACGTTATTCCATTACCCTGAATAAATTAACTTAGTTATGTATTGTTTGCATTTAAATGTTAATTACGTTATTAAAATTGTTATTACTTCTAGTTTACTAATAAGTTGTGGTCCACAATCGTCCAAATCTTCTTCAACAGACGCAGTTACAGCGGATGCTGTGGCTGTCATGACTTATCATTTATTGATAACTTAATTTTAAGAATTACAAATATTGCAATATAAGTCGATCAATGTTTTCTTTTGTCTTTCAGTATGTTACAAAGTACTCTGTGGTCTTGATTATTTGAAACAAAATTCATGAAGTCGAGCACATATTTTTATGGTTTTCAAACTGTCAAAGTCAAAACAACAAAAGTTGAAGTTGGTTCAAGGTTTACTTCTCCTTTTCCCGCCTTTTTCCTTATCTTTTTTAAAGTTAATCTTTGTATAAAATTCTCCTTAATTATTACTTTGTAATCGTATCAATGTTTTATAATGTAAGTTTTATTGAAAACACTCAAAAAATGAAAACAAACATTAATCGATTGTTTTTTAACTAAAGAAAATAATTTGTGTTGTTCATTATTAAGAGATAACAAGACACAAAGTGTTTAGAAAGAAAGAGGATATAAAACTCAAGATCATAAATATTTTATCTGCATTCTGACATTAATCAGCTGTTGGTGACGTTTATTTTTAGCGGCAACAAAAATTGAAAATAAAACGGTGTTGGATTGAACGCTTATATTTCCTTAATAATGGACGAAATTTCGCTTTTAATCCGCGGAGAGGAGTTTATAGTAAAAAAAGAGATATTGTGTGAATATAGTGATTATTTTAAGGCAATGTTCAGTGGAAATTATATAGAAAAAGAGAAAAGCCAAATTGTTATAAATGTAGGAAAATCGATATTACTTTTTTTATATGAAATATCAGATCTTTTCGCTAATTTCTATATTGAATTGCAGGTCTTACAGCCAAATATAATGCAAATTATTCTTCAATATATGAACATTGGTTTAATGGATTTATCAGAGCATTCTCATCAAATAATTGGTGAAATAGCAATGGCTGCTAATTTCCTGCAAATATCGGAACTTATAAAACAAATTGAATATATGTTGGATATACAATTATCTGTTACCAACTGGATTGATACAATGACGATTGCTGAAAACGCTTCTTATATGAAACTGGAAGAACATTCAGTTGCATTTGGTCTATTTTCATTCAAATCAATGAAGCCTAGCTACATATCGTCTATAAGAAAATTGTTTTGGTACCTTTCTCATCCATACTTAGATGCGGAATGTGAACTAGATGTGTTTAAATTTGGTCTAGATTGGGTATTGAATAATGAAACTGGAGCTGATGCTATCATTATTGTACTGGGTTGCTTAGACTTAACTAAGTTATCACTTAATGATTTATTAGAGATGAAATCATTAATAACTGTTTATAACAGCAGCTTGCCTGCCAAAGTTATTGATTGTTTGGTCATGCTACATAAAAAATGTGGGAAAATATTACCACAGATATCAGAACAAATGGAATTATGTGAAACATTTACTAGAAGAGTTTATGATGAAGTGTGTAATTTGGTTAAAGAAATTAAGCAGCGTAAACTAAAGTTTACAATATCTTTACCGATGACAATCAAACAACCATTAGCAGATGAATCTCCACATTATATGTACACATATACTTTAGGGGAAGGTTTTCATAAGTGGTTGGAATTAGTTGAAAAAAATTTATGGGGATGGAATGTAGTATCATATAATGGTACAAAACTTATTATAGTCGGTGGGGAATATGGCAAAGGTACTGGTACATTTATGAGAGATGTCAAAGAGTATGACACATTGAGAAAAGAATGGAATAGACATGGAGTTCAATTGCCACAGAGGAGACATGGGAGTGTTGCCGTTTTGGGAGACTGTTTATACATTATAGGAGGTGTAGGTGGGTTTAGGTTAGTAATATAAATTAGTAGTAGTAGTAGTAAGGGCTCCGGATTCCGCAACTACACGGCTAGTGCGTATTTTGCGTGAGAACAGGACATGGATTACTCCAGCCAACCCAGCTCTCCGAAGAACCCCAGCAAACCCTTCATGTTGCTAGTGATATAAAGTACAAATTAATTAAGGGAGGTGATAAGCAATTTAAATTGATTTCATTTTCAGGGTAGTGTTAGATACAGCAGTAATATATAATATGAGAGAGAAAACTTTCAGGAGTATAGCAAAACTTCCAGATGCGATACAGAATCCAGCAATTTGTTGTCATGATAATCAAATATATATAGCGAGTCACAAACATATATACAGACATGTGGAGACCGATGATAAAGATGAATGGGAATTAGTAGCTAGAGTTAGTTTCCGAGTTAAATGTATGGTGTCCCACAAAGGGTACATTTACTGCACACAAAGTTATTATAATGAACTCTACCGGTTTCGACCATTTGTTGACAGTGAATTACAATCTCTTTCTAGTTTTTATTCTATACCTACAGTTTTATGTACTTTAGGTGAGTATTATTTTTAAATATTTTGAGGTGATAAATGACTGCCAATTGCTCACAGGAAAAAGTATGGTTTATTATCACATTCCTGAATGTGTGTGCTAGCAAAGCGATAGAAAGACACGATCGATCTACGAATTCGGCTTGTAACATTCTCTTGTAAAATTATCCAACAATCAGCTTTACAACCTTTTTTCATTATAAAAAAGGCTATTAAGATGTTTATGCTCTAGAAAATAACTTTTACAAATTGAAGAAATTTTTAACATTCAGTTTAAATAAATCTTTTTTAAAAACAAGTAATAAAATGTATGTATTTCTAAAACACGTAATCTTATGTGACCCATTTATTTCAGACGGACGACTGTTAGCATTCACTGAAAATAATAAACTCTTCAAAAATAATGATGTTTTATCCCTAGAAGAATATACGGAAACCGCAGATTGTCCTGAAGTACTGGACACACGGACAGACACACAGATGACAATAAATGAAACAGCAGGTTACTGTGCCTTGGTTATGGATATACCACCATTATGTAAATCTGTGTCGCCATATCATATGCAATATTTAAATAAATACCCTGATTGAATTGTAGTCTAAAGTTTTGTATCTTTAAGTGTTTTATTATATTTATTTACCAGTAAAATGAAGGTTCTTCTGTATTAAACTCAAACCTCGGTAACTTAAAAATCTCGTATAACTTCAAAAAATATGTTCCCTTCCCATCAGAGCCCAAAACCTCTACAACATAGACCTTTGGTAACTTAAAACCTATAACTTAAAGTATTTTTTGTTTCCCTTCGACTTTAACTTATCAAGGTACTACTGTAGTTTTTATTTAGACTACGACAAATAAAAAAAAAATCTAGTAATCATACTAATATTATAAATGCGAAAGTTTAGATGGATGGATGAATAGATGGATGTTTGTTAGAGTTTGCAGCCCAAACGGCTTAATGGGTCTCGATGAAATTTGACATAGATGTAGAGAATAGTCTGGAAGAACACATAGGCTACTCACTTTTGTCTTTTTTTAATTACACGCGGATGGAGTCGCGGCGAAAGCTCGTCCATAATAATGTAATGATATAATAATTGTTTTAATAAATTCAGTTTTAATGCATATTATATACAAAAATGCAAATATTAAATCTTACTAATGTTATAAATGTAAAAGTTTAGATGGATGGATGTTTATTAGAGTTTGTAGCCTAAACGGCTGAAGAGACCTTGATGAAATTTGGCATAAATGTAGAGGATATTCTGGAAGAACACATAGGCTACTTGAATTTGTTTTTGTAAATCCCGAGCGGTCTGAGTCGCGGGTGAAAGCTAGTAAATAATAAAAACAACATTTGTTATTAATTTACATTTATTTCGACATTCATTTACAAACATACAAATTTTTAATTAAAAATGTACCATACATTTTGTACAATATTTTAAGGCGTATAATTTTGTTAATAATTACACAACATTCAAAGGTGACAGCATTTTATGCGATCTCAGTGAGACTAGGGAGTCACCATGATAGTTTCACACGAGGGTAGGGAAATCGAATGTAATTGAAGTAAGATATTTTGCACTTGGCTGTAATTGTCATTTGATGTGTATGATATAAAAATGTCTGTTTACAATGGTATTGCATTATAAATGTAAAATAGTTTATAATTTAATTTCTCATCATAATTGAATTCGACTGTTTTCAGTACTGAAATTGTACTAAACATCGCTGAACTACCCTCGTGTGAAACTTATAGAAGTCATTACATTTTAAGGTTATACGAATATAAGCGATATAAAAACTATATAAATCAATATTATCTCAACACTGGTGTTACATAACTATGTGTATGTTATGTACAATGTAGAAAACCTTAGCATTTGTATTATAGGCAGTTTATTTTAGTATGTGATTATAAAAAGCTAGCAAATATGTGCTAATCTATACATGTAATAAAATTGGAGTGTCTGGTTGTAATATCAAAAGAAAAATTTCAGATTTCGGGAAGATGTATTAGCGATGCTGATAATGAAAATCGCATTTAAATTTTTGTCTATCTGTCTGTCTGTCCGCAAGCCGCGTTTGTTCCGGGTAACCTCCGGAAGGGTTGGTCCGATTTCGACCGGACTTTGACTGAAGGCTGACAGATATTATAGGCTATTTTTTATTTTAATATTGCGTGGACGTAGTCGCGGGCAACATCTAGTTCAATATAAAAATATATTATTAAAAATATTTAGTGAATATTTACAGTTTTTATTAAATTTTGTTTCGATTTTTTTTTATATTATAATATAAGATAGGTGGGTAAAAAGACAGATTTTATGCACATACTAAAACAAACGATAGGCCTATACTTAAACATTAAAGCACCAAAGAGAACCTCAATTTGTTTTTTTTTTTAAATATTGTTGCGTTTCGTAAAGGCACGTTAAAAGACGAATTTTAGTTTGTTCCTTTCCTGTTTGCAAATACTAATGTTTTTTAAGTCCTTTTTTTATAAATAGAAAATAGCGTAAATAATCTTAAATAACTAATTTGTATAAATCTATTAAAAAAGCTCTTTTATATCGCATTCCACTTAAATCTACTTTTTAAAAATTTACTTTTAAATATAATTTATAAGGCGATAAAGCGATTCAGATTTTTTTGTGTAGCTATCGAAATATTTGACATTTATAGTCTAACCAAAAATAAAAAAATCCAGGGCGATTTAATCGATTTCTTTATTAAATCAATTTTTAATATACACAAAGAAATTAGTTTCATATTACGCAATTTTTTTTTATTATTGGTCAGACTAAAAATTTCGTAAAATTGGAAGCACTACTTTAAAATTTTAATATTAATACATTTTTAGTATCTTAGAGTCGACTTGTAGGTGAGTTTTTTAAATATATGATAAAAAAAACGTCGCTTTTAGAATTCTCAGCAATTCATGTCAAATAACAAAAATATCCATAGACAAGATAAAAAATCAAACATTAAATCACGAAGAGAATCCTTGAAGATTCTCTCGATATATTTTACAATCTTACGTCCAACCTCCCGTCAGTTTGTGGAACAGTTCCTCATCCAGGGTCTGGTTGGCGTCTTTAGAACGCATGGAGAGGAAGATGTACCCTCCTATGAACTCGTGCACCACCTTACAGTCCGCAGACTGCACCGAGAATATTATATTCCCCTCCTCGAATTGCACCATCATATGCTTTATCTCCCAATTCACGTTCCATGCCTGAAATATCACATTTATAATTGAAATCTATCAAATAATTATGTATACAGACAATAGACTATATTGAAAAATATTTTTTTCTTTATTTTTCCCTTCTATGTTCATTACTCGTTTCAATTTATGATAAAAAGAATCATTTTCAAGGTCATTCTACAGATCTTGGATTCAAATCCCGCCATGTACTAACGTGATTTTTGATTTTTTTGAATTTTAATCTATCTATCTATATTATTATAATAAAGCGTAAACACACACTTCTTTGTTGCCTAAGATGTTAGCAATTACAGCATATTTTGAATAATTCTCTTTTTAATAAAAAGCCTTACGTTTAAAAAACTTACGTCACGCTTTAGGCTATATATTTCACGCCATTAAACTTAGGATGTAAATATTTTGGATGAAAACCCTAATGTGGGAACGAGACCATAAGTTGCTGCCAACATCAAGGAAGCAAGATTGCTATGGTTTGTCATGTCATGTCATTTTGACATTTGAAATTTCAAATGACATGTAAACAACAAAATAAAGTTTTGATAATTTTATGCGGATGAAGTCGCACGGGAACAGGTAGTTTAGATTTATTTGAACCTTCATGGTGCTGTATCTCCAGGTCTTGATGTGGTCGCCGGTGGCGGGGTCGAGGCGCATGAGGCGGTTGTTGGCGACGCTGATGACCTCGTCCTTGCGGTGGCCCATGAAGCGCACCACGAACAGCGTCTGGCCGTACTCCGCCAGGTTCTGCCACGTGCGGATGTACTGCAGCTTCGCCTCCAGCAGCGGCAGCTCCTTCACGTTCGCGTGGCTCTCCAGCACCCGCTGGGTGAACTGGAATTCAAATATAACATATTATAAACAGGCCCATTTTAAACATTCTATCACCAAAGTCGTCCTGGGTACGACGTTAAACTTCCTAGTCGCCAACCCGCATGCCCAGCGTGACGACTTAAGGGCACAAACTTCCCAATGAGAGGACACAGAATGCCACGGCCCCCAGTACCCGGCAGCTCTACTATTCCTGGCCAAGGTGGCGGTCATGGTAACGGTAGGGCAGGGGGTGCGAAGAATCCCCGGTCGGTAGGCCACCATAAACAACTGACCATTGGCACATTTAACACCCGGACTCTGAGGCGAGACGAGGATGTGGGAGAGCTGGAAGTAGAATTGAGTTCTATAAAATGGCACATTCTTGGACTTTCGGAGGTCCGTAGAGAGGGTGAGGACACCGTAGTCCTCGAGTCTGGCAACCTTTTCTACTACCGCGAAGGAGACCAGCTTTCCCAGGGCGGTGTCGGGTTCCTCGTTCACAAAACCCTCACCAGCAACGTTGTGGAGCTTTCGAGTGTGTCGTCGCGGGTGGTATACCTCATACTCAAACTCTCTGAGAGATATACACTCAAGGTCGTGCAAGTTTATGCTCCAACGACGACGCATCCGGATTGTGAGGTCGAGGCCCTATATGAAGACATCTCCAAGGCCATTCGTAACACCACCAAGACCCACTTCACCGTTGTTATTGGGGATTTTAATGCCAAAGTGGGAGTACAGGAAGATAACGAGTCTATAATCGGACGGTATGGTTTGGGGTCGAGAAACCACAGAGGACAAATGCTTGTCAATTTCCTGCAGATGGAGGGGCTCTATTTGATGAACTCGTTTTTCAAAAAGAAGCCCCAAAGGAGATGGACCTGGCAAAGCGCCGATAAAGTGACACGGAACGAGATTGATTTCATCATGGCGGATAAAAAGCGAATATTTAGGGATGTCTCAGTGGTCAACAGGTTTAGTACCGGTAGTGATCACCGACTTGTTCGGGGCACCCTAAATATAGACATGAAGCTTGAAAGATCCCGATTGATGAGGTCAACTCTACGTCCTTCCCCTCCTCAAATCATAGCGGCCTCCGATAAGTTCCAACTGGAACTTCAAAATAGATTCAGTTTGCTGGAAACCTCTGCGGACGTGAACGAAGTAGCAGAGAATATTGCGGCGACACTATGCAAAGTTGGCAGACGCTACTTTGGATCAAAACGTAAAGATCGCGAAGCCAGGCTCACCCCTGAGACTCTAGCTCTAATGAGAAAGCGACGTGAAGCCACTGCATCCGCAAGAGCTACAGCAGAGTATGCAACTCTTAATAAAGACGTCCGGAGGATGATTAGGCGCGACTATCGTAGCTTTAATGCTAGACGCATTGAAGCTGCGATAGAGCGTAACAAAGGCCGTAAAGCCCTTACACAGACGTCCAAAAATGCACCTCTGATGAAGCTTAAGCGAGAAGATGGCTCCGTAGTTTCTTCCAAGCTAGAGATCTTAGGCGAGGTAGAAAAGTTTTATGGCGACCTCTACGCAACACACACAAACCCACCCACACCTGCCGCTCGCGCTAGTGACAGCAGAGCACCGCTAACCCGGCACTACTCGGACGATGTCCCGGACATCAGCTTAGATGAGATTAGGATAGCCCTAGAACAGCTAAAAAATGGTAGAGCACCTGGTGAAGACGGAATTACTACAGAACTGATAAAATCCGGAGGGGTTCCTATCCTGAAGGAGTTACAGCGGCTGTTTAATTCCGTCATACACAACGGGAGTACACCATTGGCGTGGACCAAGAGTCGGGTCGTGTTGTTCTTCAAGAAAGGTGATAAAACTTTGTTAAAGAACTACAGGCCGATATCTCTCTTGAGCCACGTCTACAAGATCTTTTCTAGGACTATCACGAATCGTCTCTCCCGAAAGCTTGATGAGTACCAGCCACCGGAACAGGCTGGGTTTCGAAAGGGTTACAATACCGTAGACCACATTCACACCCTCAGGCAAATTATACAAAAGTCTACTGAGTATAATTTGCCTCTTTGCGTGGCTTTCGTGGACTACGAGAAAGCGTTCGACTCTATCGAGACTTGGTCAGTTCTGGAATCCTTGCAGCGATGCCAGGTAGACTATCGCTACATAGAAGTGCTGAGGTGTCTATATGACGCCGCGACGATGACCGTGCAAATCCAGGACAGCCAGTCAAAGCCTATCAAGCTGCAGCGGGGTGTCCGACAGGGAGATGTTATATCTCCGAAACTGTTTACCGCTGCACTTGAAGATGTCTTTAAAACGCTGGACTGGAACACACGCGGAATAAACGTCAATGGGGAGTATATCTCGCACCTTCGATTTGCGGACGATATAGTCGTAATGGCGGAATCCCTGGAGGATCTCAGTCGTATGCTTAACGATCTCAATGCCGCTTCCCGACGCGTGGGGCTACGGATGAATCCCGACAAGACGAAGGTCATGCTCAATGAACAAATCGTCCCAGGCCCAATTTCCATCGGGAATGCGGCCGTTGAAGTAATAAATGAATACATCTACCTCGGACAGGTCATACAGCTTGGCCGGGGTAACTTCAACAAAGAGATCGATAGACGCATACGACTGGGCTGGGCAGCATTTGGAAAGATGCGACCAATCCTAACCTCGCAAATTCCTCAATGTCTAAAGACGAAACTATGTCTTTAACCAGTGCGTCCTCCCCACAATGACCTACGGCGCGGAGACCTGGACGCTGACGGTGGGGCTGGCCCATAAGCTACGAGTCGCACAGCGGGCGATGGAGAGAACTATGCTCGGTGTTTCTCTAAGAGATAAAATCCGCAACGATACAATTCGACAGAGAACCAAAGTACACGACATAGTTCTCAAAGTCATTAGGCTGAAGTGGCAATGGGCCGGACACATCTGTCGATCCAAGGACGCCAGATGGGGAAGGAAAGTCCTAGAATGGAGGCCACGGACAGGGACCAGGAACGTGGGGCGTCCTCCCTCCAGATGGACCGACGACTTAGTGCGCACGGCGGGAAGTCGTTGGATGTGGAAGGCGGAGGACCGCATTCTGTGGAAGGCATTGGGGAAGGCCTATGCCCAGCAGTGGATGAACAAAGGCTGATGATGATGATGATGATGATGATATCACCAAAGCTACGTTTTTTATTATTTTTTAACAGACGGACGTGGTTGCAAGCAACAGTTAGCTCCCTTATTCTAATATAAGGTAAGAGATTTTAAGATAACTTGGTTTAGCAATGATTGAGTTCGTTTTTTTTGAGTCTTTTGCCAAAATTTGCATTTATAACGGCTTATTAGGAGTTTATCCGAATTAAATATTTATAAAAAAATGTCTCACTCTAACATAATTCGCAATACGTCCTTGAACTCTCAAGGACGTATTGCGAACCTTGAATACTCATTCAAATGCTATTTCTAGTTATTTCCACTCTTCCTTGCCATCCTTTCCTCTTAAGAAAAGGGGTGGAAAGGGAAAGGGACTTAAATTGGGCCTCCGTCACCACACTCATCAGACTGTACGCGGAATAGTTCCGACTTTACGGCTGTCTTCTGTGTGGTGGTGGTAATGCGGAGGGGGGGG